TTAATATAACAGCAAATGTACCATCCTCCAACTACAGAAAGAAGAAATCCATGACATCAACCAACAGACTTTCATCACAGGTAACTACAACAAAATGTGGTTTCCCGAAGTTCCCAAAAACTGTATTTTAAATAACTTTTTCAAAGAATTCTCAAACAAGACTGCCAATATAGTCAACCAATCCCTCTACCTCAAACATCCTCCAACTACAGAAAGAAGAAATCCATGACATCAACCAACAGACTTTCATCACAGGTAACTACAACAAAATGTGGTTTCCCGAAGTTCCCAAAAACTGTATTTTAAATAACTTTTTCAAAGAATTCTCAAACAAGACTGCCAATATAGTCAACCAATCCCGTAAACTGAAAAGTAACCTCACAAGTAACGAAATCAAATCCATTTCTAATCTTAAAAAAGACACTAACATTAAAATTCTAAAAGCTGATAAAGGCAACACTACTGTCATCATGAACAATTCAGAATACATCGACAAAATGAACGACATCCTTTCCGATAACAAGAAATTCAAAGCCATCCCAAACAACCCAACAAACACACACAAAAAACAATTAAACAAAACTTTATTACAAATGAAAAAAGATAATTTAATTACTGATGATCTTTATTTTTATCTACGTAAAACTGATTCACGCACACCACAACTCTACGGCATTCCTCAACCACACAAACAGGACTACCTCCTACGACCTATACTGTCCACTTATGATTCATTCAATTAAAATCTCTGCAAATACATAGCCTGGGCTCTCACACCATATGTAACATCTGCAGGTTCATTTTTTAAAGATGCCTTCCATTTTAAACATACACTAGAACAACTAAATTCGAAAGCCTTAATGGCCAGTTTTGATGTCGTGTCACTCTTCACCAAAGTCCCCGCCAATGAAGCTTGCAATATTGCACTCAACCTCTACATTAATGACCCCAACAAGTTAATACACATCCCCAGCACACTTTTTGCTTCTCTCTTAGAATTTAAAACGACTAAAACCAACTTCATTTTCAACAACGAACATTTCCTTCAAATAGACGGTTTAAGTATGGGCAATCCTGTTTCGCCCGTTCTTCAAAAGAACGAGTGAAATGACTATATATGCCCCTACAGGGACAATTAATAACACTGTGCTTATAAATAATTGTAGGAAACAAGGACAACAAAAAGCAGCCATCGTAGAGGTGGAAAGGTTCCGGGTCAACGGGTTATACCTAATAAAAGAGTTGGCTGTGATGGACTGTCAATCTGGATGGACAGATGTGTACTGCTTCAGGCACCCATACTCCGAAGATCATCTAAGTGACGCAGATAAACGGCAAGTCCTGTGGTGTACCGTCTATCTCCATGGACTCCGTTGGGATGATGGCGATCATTCCATGCTTGATTTCCTCCGGATTTGCCAGGAGATACGACGAGAGTATACCAAGATATACACCAAGGGTAAAGAGAAGGCCCAGTTAGTACAATGCCACTTGGAACTACCATGCCTAGACATGGAGGAGTATGGATGTCCCCTCTACCAGCACCTAGAATGCAGTAGTCAAGTTACGTGCAAGTACCACCGTTACCCGCACAAACATTGTGCATATTGGAAGATGCGTTCAGGGTGACCATGAGCAGCCAGGACATATTCCGGAACTTTAGAAATTATTTGTAAATAAGTGTTTACATTTATAGCTTTTTATATGTTTATCTACGTATGCTTTATTATATATAATCATTTATATAACATTTTATGTAATTATATATATATATGAATTTATTATATGTTTTTGTAATCAGTTAGCAATAATTATAAAAAGGGAGGGATGAAGCAACTGGAAATTTGAGGAAATTTCATCAATTGCTTCAATAGTTATGGATAATTAAAAGTACTTTAGAAACACTTAGAATAAAAACTTTAAGAGTTTTAATACGAGCAAACAAGTTATAATAGATATAAAAAGAAAAGGGGGTGACAAGGAGACGCCTGTGTTACGAAATAAGCCTTGATAAATTAATAAACAAGAACTAGGTTAGACATTCAGAAGTAATTAGCATAACACGTGCACAAGCTTGAGAGGCGAGCCTGGGAGATCAGTGACCCAGGGTCAATAGCCGAGTTAGTAACAGCTATTGCATCATAACTAGGAAATGAACGCCAATACATGTGACAGTTTGATGAAGTGTTGGCCTCATTTTCTTAGCAGTATAGAAGCTACAGAAAAGTTTATATTTCGTGAATAATCCCGGTGCTTTGAAGCCGTATTAGTTACAGTACATGGGTGTAACAGCACAAGTAAATAGGCGACCGGCTAACACCATTTATCTATGACCAATAACTTGAGAGTTTTGGTTTAGGTTCTGGATTAGCCCGGGAATTGCCCTAAAGCATCCAATAGGAGCACAGGACTACTTGTGGGTGATGCTGTGTCCTATTTAAATGCTCAAAATGATAGAGAAATTTTGCTTTAAAAAACCCATGTCAGAGGCTGAAAAATCAGCTCTCCGGACAGCAAAGAAGCTTTCCACTAGTTCCCAGCAGTTCTTTAAAAAGAAATAATGAAGCTGAAATTCTCCAATGTAGCTACAGCCTCCAAGGTTCCAACTTTACAGTAAGTATAGTCTCTCTCTCTCTTAATCAGTTATTGCAAGAAGCATTAAGTTTTTACTAGTAATGTTTTTGATGATTTGTATGTTGATAGTTTAATAACAAGCAACTGATTTAAATAAATATTATTTTGAGCATTTACTATTGGTCTGAGAGTCATATTTTTTAGTCTAACAGTAAACTCCTCGAGTTAGCGACTTGTGGCTCCACTTGTCACGACAAATCCTCCAACAAATAAATTTGGTGTAAAGGTTAGTTTTAATTGAAACTCCAACAATTAAACTCACCTGAGCGCTAACCTTTTACACTAGCAACCTACCAATAGAGTGTGTAAAACACCCCAACAAACATACACACTCAAGTAATTATACCCTGGTACACAAGTTAACCTCAAATCACTACTGATGTTATATTATCTATCATAAATACCCGAGGTGTATTGCATTTTACTTTGTTTTCTTTACACACACACAAAATAACATATAAACAAAACCTTTTCAACAACATTACTGCAACAGTATAAATTTTAAGAACTTAAAGGTGAAAGCATAGAAGAATAAATAAAAATGTGTAAACAAAACTATTTACTATATCCAGTGCTGACAAGGCCTTTCACCCAATACCAGGGCTCAACACGTCAACAGGAATACAACAGCAGTTGAGTTGATATTTATAATATTAAATTACATGAACAACAACAGCTGTTATGGTGTGAACTAGATTAAGTTGGCAAAATGCAATTATTCTTAATTTTAGGAGTAATTTACAAATCAGAATCATAGTAAGAATTAACAATTTTATTTACTCGCTTATTATAAAGGCAAGCTGTAGCTTATAAATACTAGATGATCAACATTACTTAAAAACAAGAAAAATGGCCTCTTACCCACAGCATCAATGCCATTTTCTCTGGCACGAAGAGCAAATGGAGAAAGGTAAGTAGCATCAAAGGCTAATCTTCTTGCTTGTAGTGCCAGAGAGTTGACTACCTGCTGAACGTTCCCCATTTCTTGATCCTAAAAATACAATAAAATGATCATTACATTAATGGGAAAATACAAATACAACAATCACTTCCATTAGTAATTTTAGCCTCCTATCAATTAACTTATCACAAATTTCAATACTATATTACCTATCACACTGTTTAATCTTATTCTTATTAGATCATTAATTATTTGTCTGAAAAAAGAAACTATGCTTTGTTTTCATTATGAAAAATTTTTAAATCTTATTTAATTAATATTATTATTTACTAAACTATAAAAATAGAAATAAAGTTTAAGTACTTATTAAATAAAATAAAAAAATTATTGGACATGACCATAAGGTACTTAACTGATTTCAATGTGTAAATAGTAATTTATTAATTATTAGGTACAGCAGTAATTAATAGTAGAGATCGATAAGGTTTCCAAATAATTCATGAGCCAAAAAACCACCCTACTGAATTCCTAAGCAAAAAACTGACCATTCAAAGTATTGGTTACTATATATTATGCAAATACAATGAAAAAAAGTTGCTAACATTTCTGGTATAATAATTCAAAAATTTCTAAAACAGCAACTTTTTTGTCTACTACCTACCTAATCACGTCAGTGGGGCTAGCCCCTAGGTGGCTGAACTATCACTACAAGATTTCTTTAGCTTACTTGACTGGTCTATGGGTATCTGCTTTAGACATTCCGATAAATATATATATAGATTTTTTTTTTTTTTTTAGGTAAATGGTTAACATATCATGCACATTCTTTTCAACCCAACAGATCATGATACATATTGATGGATAGACATGCAACAGTTTCTAAAGGTAAAGTATATACTTTATACAAGTATAATATAAAAAATAAACAAATAAGAGTGTTAACAAATTATGAATTTTAAAATGAAGTAGGGATCCTGCTAGAAAAAGCAATGAAACAAGAATTAAAACCATAATCACAAATTTATAAAACTTTAATCCAATTTATACACTTATCTGTAGGTCAAAGTAAGGATTATATTTTAAAAATTTGTGATTGTGGTTTTAATTCTTGTAAAAGTTATAGCTATCATGGACATGGCTATTCTAAAAGTTCATTAAATGTTGTGTCCATTCCATGGACATATAAAAACTGAACAAATAGGGGGGAAAATTAAAATTTTAACAGAAAGTAGGGAATCATTGGTTATTTGTAAAATTGATATAAGAAGTATTGAAAACAAAATAAATGTTGCGATAAAAAATACACAAACAATTAAAGCGATACTAGTTGGATAGATTTTAAAATGATTTTCAATCCCCACTTTTAGACTGCTTCATTTAGCTTTACGGATCACAATGCCAACCAAAGTAGGGATTGAAAATCATTTTAACATCTATCCAACTAGTATCATTTTACTTGTTTGTGTACTTTTTATCACAACATTTATTTTGTTGTGGAAACACAAGGTTCAATACATGCTATTATACAGAGAAGTGCAAATATTTAAGAGATGTTTATTAACTATTCAAAAAGAACAAAAGAAAAGTTAAACAGGCATGAGCCAATTACATAGCCCTTCATAGCTGTAAATGACAATTTCTGTGTAAATACACATTGGAAGTCTACTACTGGATCCAGAGCTTTATCGTAAGTACACATCGGAAGTCTACTACTGGATCCAGAGCTTTATCGTAAGTACACATCGGAAGTCTACTACTGGATCCAGAGCTTTATCGTAAGTACACATCGGAAGTCTACTACTGGATCCAGAGCTTTATCGCAAATACACATCGGAAGTCTACTACTGGATCCAGAGCTTTATCGCAAATACACATCGGAAGTCTACTACTGGATCCAGAGCTTTATCACAAATACACATCGGAAGTCTACTACTGGATCCAGTGCTTTATTGTAAATACACATTGGAAGTTTACTACTGGATCCAGTGTTTTATTGTAAATATACATTGGAAGTTTCCTCCTTGACTTCAGAGCTTTACTTACAGCAAGATATATCATGCACTTCTCTTTTGTCCAAAGGACTAGTAAACGGTATTAGGTTTCAATGGCAAGTTTATTGTAGGTCCCAGGACATGGAATAACACTGCATAACAACTGTTATAGTTTAATCACCTTTTTGCTTTTGTTATAGCATTTCATAATAAAAAATATGATGCCCTTTCACCAATTCAAATTCTTGATGTTGAAAAAAATAAAACATTAGTAAAATAATTCATATTTTTAAAAACAAAGAAGCCACAAATTCAAGAAACAAGTTTTTTCCAACAAAGATACTCTAAATTCTATGTTTTAACTTGCGCTTCAGGAAAGCAGCACTATTCTGAAATGACCTTCCCAAAATGCTTCAAACTTTTAATTCAATCCTTTGCCAGATATCTTAGAATGTCTCTTTTCTTGTCTTTTATATTTCAGTCTAGTGTTAAATTCTTTCCTTTGGAATAATAATGAGGCTCCTACAGTGATGTAGTTTCAACTTTTGTTCTTCAACACTACAAAAAAAAGAACGACTTTAGAACTCTTCGTTGGATTTTATGGTTATTTACATTAGCTATCCCTAATTTTAAAGTGACAGAGAAGGTCAACATTACCCAGCACAAATTCTTGTTTCTTTTGCTAAACCAAAAAGTGGGATGTGACTATTATAAAACACCTGCAGCTCCAAAAGTGCATGCAATTCTTAAAACTCAGCTCAAAAGTCCAACACTGTAACCACTCAGCTACCACTTGAAGGAACATACTTTTCTGGTAAAACTGGATTTCAGTTGGCATCATAAACCTATCCTTATTTATCAGTTGCAGCTTGTTAGTGTACCTACTTCTCATGATAATGATATGTTTTTATATATTGACCAAAACCAGCTTTTAACAATAAATTCAGCAACACGAGTTTCCTTACTGTAGCACTTGATATAAATCCACACATCTTTCAAGGCAACTATATATTTTCACCAGCAGACAAATGAAGTCTCCCAAAATTAAACTTCTTTATGCAGAAGGAAGAACCTCGTTTTGTTTTTGTATTTTGTGATGTACAGTATTATACAAGTTAATTATGGTTTTATATAATACTATTAATCTTTTAGTCTCAAATCTACTTTGCACACTGTTTCTTAACTCTTTTGTAGATGTAACTACAACTTTAACCCTATGACAATGACACCATTTTTAAACTCCTTTCTGCACACTTCGCTGAGTTATATACCAAATTTAATTAAACCACTTTACTATCAGTGTATTTTAATGAAATTATTATTATCAATTATATTATAGTTCAGGGTTGTCTTTATTTTAGTTTTTATTCCTTTACTTCAAAATAAACTTTGAAAGCAATAACAAAATCTCATAGGTTTTGGTCATTTGATGCATGAGCTACAAACAATGTTGAAATATAAGGCGATAGTCATGTATATGCAAGTCTACACAAGAATGTAGCTTACTTGCCCCTTTTTATACATATGGTTCAAAGTACTTTCGCTGAATGCAGTTGAAAGAAGAAATAAATTTTGTCAACTCCTGACAGGTACCACACCCACCTTCTATAGTTAGTTTAACATTGTATTTTATAAGTTCCATATACTTTCAAAATGTACATGTTTATGGTCATTAGAAAGAGTTCATTTTACACTACAATCTAACAGTTATTTTGAAATTCATACCAAGTTGTCGTCCTTGGGTAGATGTGACTACTAGTATTGTCATTGGCTGCTTTTTTCACGATAGCACATCAGATGTTTCTTACCTAATTATGTTATAGTAAGAGAGACAGTTAAACTGTATTTAGGTTTTACTTTTATATTTGTGTTTTAAAGTTCATACTTGAAAGGTTTATTAATTCTTATAAAATAACCAAAGCTTCCTCTCATTCTGCAAGGCTTCAATACCAAGCATTTATAAAAATATTTTGCCAGAGATTAATGTATCTCTACCATTTATACCATTCTATCACCCAGAGGTACCGTTGATGCATGCTGACATAAATAATCAACAATAAGGAATAGTAAAGGAAAATAAAACATTAAAAATAAACTATAAGTGAAAAGATAAAGGCATGACATTACACATATGACTCAAAGAGAATATTTTAAGATTATTCAATGATGAGTTGAAAGGTATGTACATATTACTATTTCTTAATTTTATGCATTTCAGTGCACTGTATGTTGATGATAACCAGCTAGAGTTAGTGATATGGTTAATGGAAAATAAAATATAAACATTTAACTTAAAGCAACTTTTGATAATCATTTAGAAGGTACTAGAGATTATGCAATGAAATGTAAAAACTGTAAGCTAATAAATAATATTTTTAATGCTCAAAATGAAAATCACCTTGCAAGTGAGCTGTTCTGTGTCTGAGTGCAAATAACTAAATAATGAATTTTTATTATAAAAAAAAAATTAAATATTTTATTTTTCTCAAAGTTCTTGTCAAGTTTTAAACAATTTTTAAAATTAAAGGAGTGTATAAACAATTTTATACAGTCGTTTAATTTGTAGAACAAAATATAACAGAAACTACGTAATGTGCTGCACTTTGCAGCACATCATTGTTATGGTTAAGTTGCTGCACCAAAAGCTATTTCATTATTTCTGTTAAGTTTCAAACATAGTAATTATTGTACATTTTCAAGGTCATTAGGAGATTTCTTTCCATACGATCCTTTCTCCCACAGAATATTTTGCAAATTTTAGGGTTTTTATTTCTAGGTGATAACTTTCAATTTGGAAAACTCTACCATTTAAACATACTTGTAAAGATATTTTGAGGAATATAACCAGATCATGAATGCCCTGCACCACATTAGTTACCAAATAAGGTCCCCTCTTCCACACAACGAAAAATTCTGAAAGAAAAACCCCAAATTCTTTTATCTGCAGCTAAGATTTTTTGCAAAAAGTAACACTAAGACATTAAAAATGACCTTAATACTGTTGTTAGAGCATATGCAAAAGTTCTCCACTATACAATCATTGTGTTATTACAATACTTGTTTCTTCTATTACAAAAAAAAAGCAGCAGCACATTAGAAAGTGTAAATATCAAATTGAAGGGGAAAAGATATTCACAAGATTTTACTTATAGTACATTTTTGCTTATAATTTGTGAGTCATGTAGTGGAAAATGCAAAACACAAGCAGTAGTTACATAACTGTGTGGTATAAGGACTTTATTAAACACACAAGCTAAACTGCTAATTCATGTTACCTTCTTTCAAAGTTATTTAGTTAAGTTAATCAAATACTGTTGAAGAGCACATCTTCTTGACTGATTAAAATTTATATTATCTATTTTGAAAGGCAAAATAAATATCTTAACTTACCATCTATAAATATTCTCTTAATGTAAATGCCATAACTAGCTAAAAGTATATGAACTAAGCAGGATAGTAAAGAAACTGTTTTGAGTGTACATATGTGATAAGGAAAATTCAAGATTAATACTGCAGAAAGTGTAAGCAAGTTATTCTTGTTTTATAGACAAATGTAGCTTGGGGTTACCTAAAGACTGATATTACTTTTACTTAATTCCATTTATTGTTTTGAAATAAAAAATGAGCTACATATTTTATTTCAAAATTTAATTTCTATGACCAAGTAAAATTTTCAAAACTTTCTGTAACTAATATACTTACCACTAGCTATAAAAGGCTTATTTCCTTTGTCACTCTGTCAAGAATACTTTCACGCTCCTTTTTTGGTAATGTTCAACAATATACATCACCACTTAGTAACAAAACTATCACCTGATTGTTCTTAGGCTAATTATGGTGCTTATGTTGAATGCTTAATTCAGAAGCTTTATGACATTGAGTTGTGGCCAAAATTTACCAAGTAATGTTTCAGCTAAGTCTTATGTTATGTATGTATTAGACCAAATGCTTAAATTAGACAACAAATAGGCCTACTATTACTAACGTTATAGAGTCTGAGTTTAAAACGTTTTAAGTGGTGAATAAATGTTAATTAATTAATAAATATTCTATTGATATTTTAACACATATTATCTACTTGGCCTTAAAACATAAAGAAAAATAAACATTTATTACTACCAAATATCTTTTATACTTTGTACAGTCGTACGAGTTGAAAATTTGTGTTGGAATCTCCTCTCTATGTTTTCTACTTCCTGATCTAGAATACAGTGAAAAGGCTCAAGAGTGCTATTTAAGTCTCTTTCAGAGTGCACACATACTTTTTTTTCACAATAACATTTAATTTTTTTTGCGTAGTTTTTACTAAAAATGTGGTGATTAAAGAATTATTTCCAGACTGATGAAATAAGTGAAGAGTAGGTGCACTTTGAGGTACAGACAAATTCATTTCAGGTAAATTCTATAATTTTCGTTAATCATTCAACAATGGTTTCCCATCATTTTTGAAGGGCTTTTATACTAGTTATGCATAGAGTTAGTCAGTAAGAAATCATCAGCACCTACCCTTAGCTTAGAAAGTTCTCTTAATATCATGTTTTCTGGTAAGTTGTCAAAGAGTCCATCAGTGGCTACAAGAATCAAATCACCTTCTTGAACTTGAAATGATGAAGTATCAGCTGATTCTGGGCTGTATGAAAACAAATTTAATATATAAACAGAAAAAGTTTTATAAAGGAGTCATTTACAAACCAGAAATTATTACATAGAAAAAACTTCATTACAATTATCAACAACTTATTATATAAATTAAATATTTAGCTATTTTCTGCCTTTTTAACTCAACTGTAAGTACATTAAGATGACCAATTCTCCCACAACAATTTTCATATTGTGTAATACAATACTATTAAAATAAAATAGTGAACAGATAACAAAATCATAGTTTTCAATGAATAACAGAAATAGAAAATATATATGATAATACTACAATTATTAAGCCCATCTCCACATTAGGCACTGAATAGAATCATATTCTTACTTCCAACTGAGCTCAACAAAAGAAATTTACTTAAGAACTTTTGCATGAAGGCTTGTTTTCACACAAAAATTATAGATATATTGTTTGTTTTACATTTTTCAGGAGTTGTTATTTATGTAACTATATATTTCAATTTTTAAACACTAAAATTACAAACTTTTTAACTTCAAAAATGAGCACAGCATGTAATACAAAAATCTCAGTTTTAAAATCTGATAAGTTCTGTAGTTTCCCAAAGTTATAATTTTCCTATAGTTAAAATGTAGTTCTGCCAGACTGTCTGTGCCACAATAGAACTAATGATAAAAGTGAGCTTCAATCAGAAGCAAAAAATTTAATTGTCAAGTACCCTAGGCTTTGTGTATTGTATCTTTTTCCTAAGTCAGACCATCCAGGTAGACTCATAGTTGCAACATGCAGCTGTCCTACTGATCTAATCTCTAGTTACCTTGATTCCATCCTAACCCCCTTAGTTCATCAACTTTCTACTTACATTCAAAACACCAAAGATGCTTTACAAAAAATTTTAACTCAAAATCAGATTTTATTATTTTATTCACACTTGACATACCATCATTATATACCGCCATTCCACATGACAACAGACACAAGGACCTGAAATAATATCTTAGCAAAAGGGATACCCTAGACCCATCTACTGCAACCCTGATCAAATTAGCTGAACTAGTTATATCTGTAAATGCCTTTCTTTGGACATCAAATTTTATAAACAAATGAAGAATGTAGCCATGAGAATCAAAATAGGTCCTTTCTATGCTATCTTTTTTGTTGGTTACATTGAAGATTATATATTTCATAACTACACAGGTGCTTTCCCTGCCTTATATTGTAGATATACTGATGATGTTTTCAGTATAGTTACAGGCACTTATGATGAAGTTCATCCTTTTCTTCTGTTTGTTAAATTTTTTCATCTAACAGTCCAGTACACTTTATTTCTTAACATAAATATTTTCATGACTGATGACGGCAATCTCACAATCTCTATATGCATAGCTACTTATATTTTCACTCCAGACATCCTCAATACGTCAAGAGAAACATTCCCAAATCACAACTCACCAGATAACATAGGCTTTGCAGTTAGAACCACGAATATAATAGCAAATCCAGCAACATGCTCCATTTTTTCGAAAAATGTGGCTACTCTACTTCTCTTCTTCATCACAATAAAAATAACCTACATACTAACAATAAATGTCCAAATTCAGCTTTTCAGATATTGCTTAGTTTAAATCATATCAGTAGTGATAACACCAACACTCTAGACAATTTATAACTTCCAACAACACACATCCAAACTCTCTTCAACCAACATACTCCTAATTCCACTGACAATAAACACCTTCCCCTTACACTTCACCCATTCAACACACACACATAGAAAACATATTTTATTAGACAATTTTCTCATCATAACACAGGAGAATACCCTTGGTCACATGTTTCCTAACAAATCTCTAATACAACATACAATTATCATCTGATACTCAAGTTGATACCTACAATTGTAAGAGGAATAGATGCAACACTTGCCCTTACATTGATCATTTAACATCTGTAAGAGGCCCTAAGTCAGTGTATATTAGAAATAGCCATTTCAAATGTACATCGAAATGTTTAATTTATTGTATTATTTGTAAGAACTGTAACCAAATCAATATAGAAGAAATCAACCATAGGCTTGCTGAACATACACAGCATCTAGATTAAAGATCAAAATAAGTCTGTAGCTCAGCACTTAACAAAGCTGATAATTCCCTTGAGCAATTCAAAGTACTTGCCCAACAACATCCACCTTCCAATACCAATCAAAGAACCACAATAAAAAAAACATTTTTAATTGGGTTGTTTGAGTTCTTTCAGCATTATCAAACAATTCACCTTATAAAAAATGTTTTTAAAATAACCTTCATTTATTACATTAAAACGTTTAAATTATTCCTTTCTTTGCTTTCTAAACTTGTTTTTGTATTTTTAATAGTTTCAGTAGTTTTTTTAATCACTAACCCTTTATTATATTGTTACTGTCATAATATAAAAGACTGTTTAGTTTAGATATTATTGATTAATTTATGTTGCGAGTATTTTACTATCACTTAGTTTTGTTATAATAAGAGTTAAAACGGATGATTGTAGTAAGTTGTGTTCATAATTAATTGATGTTGAGACTATCGAATGTCGTGTGCAATACACTGACATCAAAAATAAAGAGAAACTAGAAGGCGGCCAGACGATTAAGTGATAGATATAAATAGTGTGAGACGACCAAAAACAGCAGACAGACAATAGCAGAAGAAAGTTATGGGCAAGGAAAAGTTTGGCATGAAGTTAACTATCATAGAAGTGATAGGCCTAACATTTAATATGTTAGAGTAAGACTAACAGTAGAAATGGAGATAAGAAGAATTTACTCCATCAAAGTGTGATTTTAAAGTAATTAAATCAGCCTGAGTGCACTTTGACAAAACGAACAGAGGATATTTTGAAGAAAGAAAACCAAACAGTTATGATAACTTGCATCACAATTGTAAGTGAATCACACACACAATACTAGTGCAATAGTATCAGTGAAGATACTTCGGCTTGTCAACTAAAATTCTAAAGCAAATTAATAGGACTAAGTGGACTTTGGACAAGAAGAAGAGAACTATATATTTATCTAGTGTTTATGATATGCCTATAATCTCTATAGTGTAAAGAATTTGTTATACATACATTTAACTGGTTTCGAATTTATCGCCAACAAGTCGCAGGCACCTACTGCAGAAGTAGCTTAAGCCCAACAACAACAATTCAATAGAAGAAAGCATAATTGATCAGTGCACGACTAATGGTTTAAATTCAGACAATTGGCAAGCCACAGCCAGGATTATACAGTGGTAAACGGAGATAGAAGAAAACATGAAGGACAACAGAAATACGTAGACTTATATATGCACAACTGTAGTAGTAATGAAAATAGTGTAGAGATTACAATTATGCAATTCAACCATGTCAGGTGATTTTGATAAAGAGGATCTCATCTAGGGTTAAAAGACAGTGAACTATGAGAATCTGTTAAGAGCGTAGATAGAGAAGAGAGGAAGAAAGGTTAAAAGAAGAAAATGAGAGAAAGGAGAGGCTAGAAATCCAGAGAATGAGAACACAAATTGAGAGAGAAGAAAATGAGAGAAAGGAGAGGCTAGAAATCCAGAGAATGAGAATACAAATTGAGAGAGAAGAAAATGAGAGAAAGGAGAGGCTAGAAATCCAGAGAATGAGAATACAAATTGAGAGAGAAGAAAATGAGAGAAAGGAGAGGCTAGAAATCCAGAGAATGAGAATACAAATTGAGAGAGAAGAAAATGAGAGAAAGGAAAAACTGCAAATAGAGAGAATAAGAGTACAAATTGAGAAAGAAGAAGAAGATAGAGAAGAGAGACTAGAAATAGAGGGAATAAGAGCACAAATTGAGTTTGCAAAACTCACCCAACTGAAGAGGGAAGGACCCAAGAATGACAATGGAGTTAGGGCCAGCCAACCCAAGCAGTCCAAATATGATTAACAAAGATGACATGAATGCTTTTCTGGAGAGATATGAAAGATTTGCCCAAAGTCAGAACTGGAACAAAGGCTACTGGGCAGTCCGTCTCAGCCCACTTCTCACAGAAAAAGGTCTACAAGTATATGCAGGCATGATGTCAGAAGATGCCATGGATTACAACAAATTAAAAGTAGTTTTACTGAAACAATATGAACTTACTGAAGAAGGTTTTCATCTGAAGTTCAGAGGATTCAAACCCGACACTGGAGAAACTGTATTTCAGTTTGTGGCACATCTGCGGAGATATTTCACCAGATAGACTGACATTGCCATGTGTAAAAATAGTTTTGAGGTATTGGCAGACCTATTAGTAGGTAAACAGTTCATGACCATGTGTTCAACTGACATGTCACTGTTTCTAAAGGAGAGAGCAGGAAAAGACAGAGGAGATGACCAAGCTGGCAGAACAGTATATGGAAGCCCATGGAGGTAGTATAACTGGCAAGTCTAAGAACGTCTAGTTAAATATCAAACCAGTAGTAGCTAACAAGAAGCAGAAGTTTACCAAAGGTGACAGGGGTTTAATAGACAGAAGGGAGAAGAAATGCTATGTTTGTTATAAAATGGGACATTACAAAGTCCATTACCAGGAAACAACAGCAGAAACTGCAACATAAAGCAGCTGGATCTACTTACAAAGACAGTGCTTGTAAGAGACAAAAAAAAAAAAAGAGTGACTGGCACTAAGGATGCTGCTGCTAGAAGAAAAAGAATCAAGACTACTTGTTAAACTTAATAGAAGAAAACACTAAGTAGAAATGAGACATACAAGGATGTCAACATGAGTGTCAAACTGGTTGATTTGAAGAGGGAAGAGAAACAAAATCTACGGTATCAGCATACAGATAGATTGGGAAATATGGACCTCAGGCAAGACAATTGGTGAAGGGTAGTCACATGATCAGAACATGGAGCTGCAACAAAGCAAAAATGAAGAGGTATAAAAGAGTGTGTGCTGTTGAAAAACTTTAGCAATGCTTAGAGAGCAAATCAAGTTCAAAATAGCTTTGGTGTAAGGAGATAGTGCTGTTTCAGATACCATTATGAATGCTGTGGTCTGGCCATTCATTAAAGGAATGTTTTGTTCACTTGGAATATTTTGCGAGTTATCATTTTGGATAACCTCATACAATAAAAAAAACTTACCTATCACTTAAAACTTGTCCTGTCACACTTGGAGGAGAAAGAGATAACTGAAATGGAGTGTTGAAGTAATGTGTCTGTTCTTCTGATCGATGGATGATCCGACCTTGTCGAACAACTAAGAATCCACTGTCTCCTATGTTAGCAGTGTATACAGTGTGGTCTGTTCTGTTCAATATTATAACGCATGCTGTGCTACTACCTAAGAATAAGAATGTGTACTATAATTTCAAAATACTCTACAAAATGATTAAATAATAAAAACACATCCACATATATTGTTGTAAATCTAAATAGATATATTTCATTTTGGTATTTAAAAGACAGTGATATGTGTATGGGATTGTAAACATCCACTTAAATGTTAAGATGGTCTGACAGTGCATGTTTTAAATACAGTACTCATTGTGTCTGTTTATGCATTATATGTCCAAGTAATTATAGAAGATAACTGTCTGAAAAGGTTTTTCTTCCTGTGAAAATTGTTTTTAAATGTAGTAAAGGTGATACTATTTTTTTAACTTTACATATGGGCTGCAAGTAAGGGTGAATAATCAGTATTAATGTATCCCTGTCAACTCACTGATTTTCACTGATTAAGAACCCTACTGAAGCATTTGTCTGCTAATTCAGCTTTAAGCAAGATTAATTTAAGGCTGTACAAAATTAAAAAAGGATTACAGAAAGTGATCTAATTTACTGTGTGCACAGGTTTGGTGTATGAAATGCAGTAGCTTGACTTATCAAAATATCCTCTATATCCCAGCAACTGCTCACAAATGAAACAAGCAGAAGACATTGTAACTCATGTTTTTCATGTGTTTGAACTCACTTTTATTGAAATGAATGTATTGTTTTAACTTTGCATGATGCAATTTTGAAAAGTAATTTGTAATGTAATGTAACTTTATTTGTCAGTGCTTGAGAAGCATTGTATAGACCTATTTCTCTATTATAAAATTCTGAAAATGGATTACATGTTTTGTTACTCGTTCTGTACTTTTCTACAAACATTAATCCTTTCATATACTGGAAAGAAAAATGGTTTCCAAGAATACTGATCATTGTGGAAAAAATATCTAAGATACTTTCATCAAGATATAACAGTAAATGTAATCAAAACAAAAGCAGTTCATTAAATTCTCCAAGTCTTTAATGTTCAAAATGATTGTGTAATTGAGCAACTTATCCTTGCTAAATATAGATAGTTGTCAATGGCCAATTATTACATGGCAACATACAGTTAGTACTATAATAAAATATTAAAACTTTTTACACTGTAAATACAAGTGGACATGATTTGTTTGTATATTTGTATACTTAAATATTAAAAAAACATTTATCATAGTAATGTAGAACCATTTGAAACAGAATCTGAAGTTATAGATTATATCTTTTGACATACGAAAAGAATAATCTTTAATAATATGGTATTTTCATACAGCACTGACTTCCCCCTAAGAGTGATAACATAGATCCACAGAATAACAGGAAATTCATCAAGGCATTTACAGTACAAAGAGTACAGAATTATTTTACATATATAAATACTAACAGTGATTACACAGCAAAATACCCTTTACCATAGATGAATGAGCATTGTACATCATAAACTCTTTGGTAGAAACTGTTAAAGTAATGTCATACACAGGATATTTCAATAGTTTAAATAATAAAGAAATAAATACATGATAAATACCCTTTAACAATTACACTTCTCTGAACACTATTTAACAAAACTTAATCACTATATAAAATTGCAAACAAAGAAATGCAAAATGAACCCTGCAATGATGAAATGAGATTCAATAATCATAATATCATACCCTTCATCAGTAACTAGACCAAACAATTTGATAATAGAATACAGTTAATTGTACAGTAAGATTAATAATTATGAAACAAGAATTCCTCTATCAACACACAAACACCAAAAAGAACAGTCACAAGAAACATAGGAAATAACCTTAATACTGACAAAAGCTATCAAATAAATATTTTAATTCTTATGCATTCAACAAAATCAGTTAATAGAAATTGAAGATATTTTTTATTAAAAATCCCTTTTTAAACCATTAATAAAAATAAAACCCTTTAACCAAAGAAAGAACAGTAGTCAAACAGACCCTAAAAAGTACACCAAGCAGAAAAGAAACTAAAAAAATCTACACTTTCACATGAATGAAGACCCTTTAACAAGAAATTCAAGAGAGTCACACAAATACAAACAAATAAACCAGATTGACTTGAGGACAATAATAAATTATTTGCATAATCAGGAACAATATTCCCACTATTTACATTATATTATAACCTATATTCAGGAGAACTCAAGGTAGGAGCTTTCAACTCAATTCAGACCAAACATTAGATATTCCTGTGCTGCTGATAGTGGTGTGCCATATAATATCGTTGGCTTTTGCCAGGGCCTTACAAGTGAGGACCAACTTTCTGTGTGTAGTCAGCACACCTCCTCTCTAAACTGGGATGGGGAATCCAAAGGTTCTATGCAGCTGGTCTTTCTTTCAATTAAAGAAGGTCCAGAGCTCTGTCAATGCATCAGTTATGGGCTGTGCCAATGTTTCAATCAATGAATAACTCTCAGCATGATTTGTGAAGTAGCCAAAAACAACAAGTCTCTGGGAGTGAACCAGCAATATCTGGAGTTCTTCTCTGGAAGTGAGAACCAATCATCCCATGCTGGGGTTTATCCTGTTTTGTTCAACATTTTTTCTGGCTGGTACACATCATACAATATTAACACCAATGCTGAACATCTTGCATTAACCCTATCGTTACAGGTAGCTAGGGGTCAGAAGGAATGTCATCTTGTTTGTAGACTTACATTCAAAATGTTATTGAACTACTATTTTATGAATATATGTCAGGCCCGCAACAGGGGGGCAAAGGAGCAACTGCCCAGGGGCCCGGGCGAATGAAACCTGGTTATGCCGTAAAGCCTGCAAAGCATCTTTAGGCTATATCTTCATTTAATGATAAAAACCATAGTTTTCAGCTTTTCTTTGCATATACATTAAGGACGACTGAAATAATAATTTGAGTTATAATTAATATGTATTTGCTACTTTATAGATATAATAGATATTTGATGTTACTTTACTAACGTTTTTACGCTTATACTGCAAGGTAAAAATGGCTGCTGTTATGATTTATTAGCTCGTTGCTGTCCTAATTTAGGATCTTCTTTTTAATTAATTCTTGAAAATGTTAAAAGAAGAGAGAGAGAAAGGGGACCCGGCGAGAATGTTTGCCCCAGGGCCTGAGATGTGTCTCAATGTTCCTCATGTATGTCAATAAACTTAGTATCAAATTGTAGATTTTAATTCAAAATTTAGTATTATACATTAGTTAATTTCTTAATTTGAAATTAAATAGAAAAAAAAATTGCTAAGTATTGATTTGTGTGTGTCACACTGGTACGTCATCTTCCGAGTTTGGTCAGATTACATTTTATGACGACCCTGGTATAATGTCTAAAATTTCATAAGAATTATAAACTCAAATTTCCGATATTGGCAAGCTAGAATATAAAATAAGAACCTCCTACCTTTTCTATTTGCTGAGATATCATAATATTTATTGAATCCACCATATTGGCTCCACCCACCACTTGGTCATTTGAGAAGACTTATCTACACCTGGTTTTCTATACCTATAAGTTTATAACCAATCGAAAGCTCTACATTTTCTCTATAATTCTGTTAGTCTTTCTTAGTTACTTATGACAGAAAATCTTTTACATCGTTTGAGAGTTTGAAGTATTACGATCAATGCTATTTTCCGAACAGAAATTAGATTTTTTGAGACCCAAATACAGCATAGTTAGAAAGCCTCTTAAATTACAATAGGTTCATGTGGTATCGGTATAGTCATTTATAATATTTTGGTATTCAAAAATGCTTATATATAGTCTACAAAAATTATTTTTTTCTACATAAACATATGAATTTGGACAAGGCTTATGATGAGGGTTAGCAAGTACGACTTGTGAGTGCAAAAAAAAAGAACTTAAAAACATCACAAGTAGTGTAGATCATTGTTTTCCAAATATTTTTTTAGTTACTGTTCTATGTTTTAAGAACAATAACTGAAATTTAAATATCTATTTATAAATAGTAATAATAATTACACACACACACACGTGTAATGTATGGTAACCAAAACCTAACTGTACCTTACAAAATATTGGAAATTTAGTTAATCAGATAACTTTTACAGAGCTATATCAAATATTTTCTCTCACTTTTATGTAGTACTTTAGACAATTCTTGTTGCAACTACTGTACTGTTTAAACAAGTTAATAAATCCTATCCCACTGTGTTTTCAGAGCTGGGATTCAAATAGACTCTGTAGAAAACATCCGCCTATTGACCAACATTCAAGTACCTACCAAGTTCATTGGATCAGCCCAGTCTTTCTACAAATATAAGCATTTTACAATACTTTAAACAAGTCTCATTGTAAGCATTACACTGTCAACAAATTGATAAATCTTATCCCACTGTGTTTAAGACAGGGAGAGTTCTAAGAATAGAATTGTTTCTCGAAAGCTTATCTTATATTGACAGTGTCAATGTACTCAAAATACAATAACACCTAAACAAGAATGGTGATTCATTGCTTTATATTCAGCAGGTTACCACTTCAGCTGCTAACAGTAGAATAAACATAGAAAAAAGAAAAGATTAGAAGAAACTCTCAGAAGATTTAGTTTGTAACTTCATTGTCCATACTGAACAGGTCAGACAGTACTATTCATTTTATTTCTTCTAGTTTTTAAGCCAGCTGCTCACAATAAAATAACTATGGAAAATAAGCTTGAAATTGTGAGAAGTGAAAATTCTGACCATAAGTACTGTAAAACGTTTTTTCAGTAAACCTTTATAGTTTCTGGTATTTTTTTTACCCTATATCAAAACTGAATAGATCAATTTGACTGAGCTTGTAACCACCGAGAAAAGAAATCTATATAATTCTAAATTACCCCTTTTTTCTTTCTAGAATGACTTCATATTGCACCATGAAATGACTTTTGTTTATACTAAGTAGCTACAGGTTTGTAACAGTATACATCTATTTATAATTAAATTTTATTGTTTTATTACCCTTTGGACCATGTCTAACTACTATCTGTGCCATTATAAATTGTAAATCACTCGGGGATCATGCAGCTCACATTA